TAGGATTTCTTTTATTATTGGCATGGCATTTACTCTTTTGCAGTTGACATGTTAATGTTTTATTTTACAGTTGCTATGCCCCTTTCTCCTTTTACAGTTACTTTGCCATTTTTTACTTTTACAGTTAGCATGTCGACCAAGCACGGTGGTGTAATGGATAGCGACTTCATCTGAGAAATCGGAGAGCCGAGTTCGAATTCCAGTCGAACACATTACATTCACTTACGTTTAAATATCCTTGGGAAAGGTATGAGTAAATAGCTGGACAGACCTGGAATGGCAACTGACCTACAAATGGTAACCTACTACGGGAAAAATCTGCCTCGTCAGTCATGCATCGAAAGATACATGATCGCTAAAGTGTGTATCACGCATGGTACATAACTGACTGTCAACATCTTTTCCCGTTGGTATGTCATTTTCTGCTTTCCCTGATGGTGTGTCATTTTCTTATTTCATTGTTGGTATGTCATTATCTTCGTCTACAGTTGGTATGCAATTTTATTTTGCAATTTTATGTAACTTTTTTCTTTTACACTTTATATGTCATTATCTTCTCTTACCGTTGCTAAGTCATTATTATCATTAACAATTCGTATGTAAATTTCGTCTTTCATATTGTATTTACGTTGGTATTTTTTATAGCAATTTTCCCCTCTGATTTCATTTCATACTCCACTTACTCATTGGGAGTTCATCCCTAGAGCTTCACTCTCTTTCTTTATCTCACATTACTATAATCTAAATATATTCTAATTTCTAATCTTAGCATTTGCTTTCCTGGATTTTTCTGTTGATGTTCTGATTCCTGCAGCTGTATATATATATATATATATATATATATATATATATATATATATATATATATATAAAAGAAGGAAGAGTAAGATTTCAGTGTTCAAAACATTAATTTAAAACAGGGCTCAATACAAAAGTAGAGCAATAAATATTTATTTATTATGCACTGTTACATTAGAACATGTACATACCCACTACAAAATTGTACATATTGTTTCAACGTTAAAAAAATAATTTTTAACGTTCGTTTCATCAGGTGGAAAATCATCGTGATTTCCTTCCTGATGAAACGTTAGAAAAAAATTTTTAACTTTGAAACAAGATGTACAGTTTTGTAGCGAATATGCGCATATTATAATGTAACACTGCATAATATATATATATATATATATATATATATATATATATATATATATATATATTGTTTAATTTAAGATGGTTAAATTCACTTCAGTATCATATTTGCCCATTCTTTAATTGCCGTTCCTGCTATCCAAATAATCGTTTCGTTTAAATTATGAAAGAACAGAAGAATTTGATTTAAAACAAAAAAAAGTGTGCTGAGGTGCCGTGAAATATCAACCTTCCAATATGACAGTGAATGCTGGGAAATTTCCTCACAGATGAAGAAGTGATGAAACAATAACTATATAATGCTACGGAACACAAGGAATTGTGGGGTGGAAAATAATTTATCACACACAAGGTAAGTGAAAACTGGGAAGTTCCATCCCATATATGGCCAAAGTTCGCCATTTTCTTGTAAAGGATAGTATGAGGACTCATGTACTTACTGGAGCGGCACAGGGAATCGACCATTTTTTCGCCATCTTTAGCGATGGATTGTATATACGAGTTCCATTATAATACTGAAGTATAGAGATTGTTAAGAGAAAAATTGTCGTCGTTGTAATTGCTTTTATTGAACAGGTAAGTGCTTATCGTTTAACGAAATCAGTACTTAAAATATTGAACCTGCTTGTCACTCCAATGCGTCTGGTTAGTCTCTATCTTCATATTGCTAGTGAAAGGCTTCAGCTGTCGAAAGGTATGAGAAAATAATGAGCTCTTGAAAATTGTGGGCGAATTTCCCAAATTTATTTTTTAAGCGCTCATCCTTGCAATGAATACAATTATCACATCTGGTTTGGTTCTCCTGTTATATATTTAGAGATTTTGATAAAATCCAAAAAAGTATCTACAATGTTATTGGTTCTGACCTGGCATTTCGGCGTCATCTCTTTCCCATTTCCGTAATATATTTTCACTGTGACTTTTCTATAAATACATTCATTGTAGTTGTTCTGATGAAAATTCCTTTATGGTACCTAGACTTTATGAATTTAAGCGCAGTACTAGATTGGTAGGTAGGTCTCATCATTTTAAAGTTGAAATCGCTAAATGCATCCGATGTTAACAGTTTCTTCTCTTACACTTCTTGCTTGTGGAACTATTTTCAAGCCTCTTGTTTTCCAGTCAACATTGATCTTCAATAATGTAAATGCAATGTCAATCGTTATCTTTTATTTCCTTAATTCTTGTTCTTTTATTGTTCTCAAGCCTTAATACTGTTTTCTTTTTCTCATATTGTGACATTATTTGTTACTGGTAATCATAAGAAGGTTTTTAATAGAAGGAACGATATACTGACAGAAACCTGATGAAAACAAGGCTAAAGAATAAACCCCGTGGGAAAAATTGAAGATTTTAATTCACATGTAGACAGCCATCTGAATTGTGTGTCGGGGTTTTGAACACTGAAACACATAGGGTTGACGTGGATTTGTTATGCGACAGATCAAATGGCAACAATGATTGACATTTGTTCGATCACACGCACAACTAAAAATACGGGCTATGAATGGGAAAATTTTCTGCGTAAACAACGATTTTTAGTGGTCAGAGGGTGGCCGGGGTATCGGGAACAAATGAGTCACCAAGAAAGGAAGAGGAGCCACCCACGACCACTGATGAGAATTAGTGGGAGATGATAATAAGAGGAATTGGAAGTTATGGGGAGAAGTAATGCCTGTAACCATCACCCGTGGGAGAGGGGAATTCCCCGAAATTGTGCAAGACCCAGACAATGGAGATGACAGGTAGGGGGTAACACCGAATTCGCCAACTGTGTCGTGCCCCGCGCCGGTTTAGGCGAACGTCAATAAATAAAAATGTCCCAAAGCAAGATGGTCAGACAAGAGAGAGGGAGAGAGAGAGAGAGAGAGAGAGTTCTAGTCACTGGACGGGACACACCCCAAGTGATTATCTACCGAAGAGAAACTCTGACATTAGCTTTGTGCCGGACTTTACCAAATCAGCAAAATAAACTTTACCAAGTCAACAAAGTGTCACGTCCGAGTTAGAAACGGGTTGGTCCAATAACTGTTTACATGCAAACTCTTGAATTTAACAACAATTAACTGTACGAAGGACTTGATATAAAAATAATATTTATCTTTTTTTTAATTTATTTGGGTGTTATTTTCTTTCTTTGTGTTTTCACCCTGCTTGGACCAGCCCAATATGAAGATACCTGACATCAATTCCATCTTGGCCACCTTATGATCAAAGCAAATCACAACGTGGGATAAGGCAGGACTTGGATCGAAGCGATCACTTCATCAATCAGCCATAGTATTGGACATCTTGGATGACGGGGAAGTTGTAAGGTGACAATATTCTTCCACACTCAGTAACCCGTTATGTCTTAGTGGCTATATTGCTGTGTTTGGGGTGAAATGATTAAAAACAATTGGTAATTTGAATATAATTTCCATTTCCTCCATTTCATTATAAATTCCTTTTTAGCCATTATAAAAGAAACACATTTTTAACCATTACCAAAGAAATTCCATTTAAACAATTACCAAAAGCAACTCTTTGTAACCATTACCAAAACATTTTAACCATTACCAAAGAAATCCCTTTATAACCATTATAAAAGAAACACATTTTAACCATTACCAAATAAATCTTTTTTTAACCATTACTAAAGAAATTCCTTTTTAACCATTACCAAAGAACTTCCCTTTTAACCATTATGAAGGAAATTCTTTTTTAGACATTTTAAGTAAAATCCGATTTCACCTCCTTGAATTTAAATCAAATTTTAAACATCAGAATATAAATCCTTTTTTGGTCATTCTAATTTAAAATTTATTTTTATATTTCAAAATAAATAAAAAATTTTGCATATAAATTAATATTCCATTTCATGTATTTTAATGTAAATCACATTTTGCCTATTTGAACATAAATCCACTTTTAGCCATATAAATTCTATTTTTTCCATTGGAATTTAAATTTCATTGTTTTTATTTCAATATAAATAACACTTTTTTTGTACCAAAGTCTGATATGAGTCATTCAAATGGAATTGCTATTTTCGTTATTTGAAAGTAATCCCCATTGTATTCATTTCAATATAGCTCCTGATTTAAGCATTTTAAATGTTAATGCAATTTTTTATCATTTCGATCTAAATCCTGTTCAATCCATTAACCTGTAAATCTCATACTTATTATTTGAATATAAATCCAATTTCAAAAGTTTCAAATTTTATCTACTTGTAGATATTTACATGCAAATCAAAATTCTGGACATTTGAATTTCAAATAGCTTTTTAGGCGTCTAAATATCTACACAATTTTAACCATTTACATGTAAATCCGATTTTGGTCACTTTAATTAAAATTCTGTATCGGCTTTTTCAACATGAGATTGTTTTGGGGCAAATCAGTTTGATATTTGTCATTTAAAAATAAATCCGATTCTAATCAATTAAATATTAAATTAATTTCAGGCATTCAATTTAAAATCGGATTCAGGACAATAGAATCGTTATTTTGGCCCATTCAGTATTTCAACCATTTTGACCATTTTAATGGAAATCTTAATTTGCTTGGATTGATTGTTTCATTCATTTTTCCATGTTTCCTCATCTCAACCTTTTGCAGGCTATTTAAAACTAGAAAATATGTTTTCATACTGTAAATTTTTTTCTTTTTTTTTGAGATTATACTGGTTTAGAGATACAAGACTTACTATTTAACCCATATCTGGGGGGAAGAAGCGGTGCATTCATGCCTTGCCCAGGGGTATTTGCTCATAAGGGAATACAACAAAGCCAATGGGAATTGGAAGTTTGCTCTCCACTTAACAACCCTGAGCCATTATCCATTACACCAGCCACACATCCAAACTGACAGCACCTCGCATTTCCAAGTGGTCACCTATCTAGGTACTGACCAGGTTCGATGTTGTTTAACTTTTGTGATTGTATGGGAACAGGTATTTCAACATTATGTGGCTGTAAGCTTCATAATATGTCCATTTCCAAGTAAAAACTAATTGGGCCACTAGAAAATCAATTGAAATTTATTCATTATAATTTTTGCGATTTCAATGGAAATTCCGTTTTGATCAAGTGAATGAATGATATATTTTGACAATTTCAAAGCAAAAGTTTTGACCATTAAAATTTTTACCATTAAAAGTTCTGGCCATTAAAAAGATATTTTATATTGACCTTTCTAATGAAAATCCTGCTTGGGCCATTCTAGACAATCACATTTTGACCATTTCAATGGGAAAAAAATGGACATTAGCTTGAAATCTTATTTGAAAGTAAATCTCATTGAGTCATTTGAATGGAAATCCAGATTTGAGCATTTCAATATAAATTTTATGGTGGCCAGCCACTTAAAAAAAATCATGTTTGGCTCATTTCACTGCAAATCTTTTTTAAATCATTTTAAAATAAATTTTAAAATAAATTTAATTTCAGCCATTTCAACGTAAACCTGATTTGGACCAATTGAATTTGTAATTATAATTACATTTTGACCCATTACAATGTAAATTCTGTTTTGGCCAAGTTAATTAGATCTATTGTTGGAACCTTCAGTAGAAATTGTTCATTTTGACATTTCAGTACAAAAGTTAGAGCATCATTTGAACCTCCATTGCCTTTTGACCATTGCAATGGAAATAACATCTCAGATGTTACAGTGTATAGACTATTTCAGCCATTTAGGAAAGCAATCATAATTTAACGATCTCTACATAAATCATAATTTTAATATTTATCATAAATCCTATTTTTGGAATTTCCATGGAAATCCCATTTCCATCATATCAAGGAAAATTCTTTAAAGCTATTTAATCTCATTATTGGTCATTTTAATAGAATTCCCATCTTGGATGTTGAAATGTAAATTCTCACCCTTTTCTTTGAGTTCTATTTAAATCTTGCTGGATATAAAACTAATTTTAAACAATTGAATTTAAATTAATTTTTCTTTTCTTTTCTTTTATTCTATTTTGATAACTTTAAAATATGTTATTTATTGTATTTAAAGGTAAATCTTATTTTAGAATTTAAAACCAATTTCATTTGCACAATATTTACATTGTCCTCATCTTTGTCGCCATATTTATTACAATGTTTCAGTCGTTGTACACTCCAGTCTTCTTCAGGTGGTTGGAATGTCGAATTGAACCCTTTATTTCGCTCGCTGGGGTAGACTGTTCTAGTTCCACGTGCCATGTTTTAATGGATGTCATTTATCAGTCATCTCCTGTTAATTTCCATCTGAAAGTTCTCCGGCGTTAGTTAGATCCAGTGACAGGACCCAAAGAATGTGAGTTCAATACCCGGCTAAGGCAGTGGAGAAGAAGATAATGATTGACACTGCATTTAAGCTTTTGAAGATCAATATTGACTGGGAAGCAAGAAGCCAGAAGAGAGTTCCACAACTTTGAGTAAGAAACTGTTAGCATAGAACTTACGGTTGCAACTGTAAAATGATGAGACCTTACTGTCAATCTAGTACTGCGCTTACATTCATAAAGTCTAGGTACCATAACGAAAAATTCATCAGAACGATTAACATAACAGTATTTACAGAAAAGGCATAGAATATGTTATGGTGGAGGGAAAGAGACTGAAGTTGAGATGCCAGGTCAGGATAAATAACATTGCAGATTCTTCTTTCGATTTTAACAAGGATCTCTAAATATATAGCAAAAGCACCAAACCTATTAGAAGACAGGTGTTTTCAACATAATCTTTCACAATTGTCTGCTTAGTTATTATTATTGTCATATTTTTGCAGCAAATTAAATCCAAAAAATATAGAGCAATAGAAATTATTTCAACTTCATATGTTTGCCGTCTTGAATCTTTTGATCACCAACTAAATATAAGACAGATAATTTTCTTCAGTATCTGTCTATATTTCTGAGATGAGGTATTATGTACACTATTTACATTACTCGGAGAATTGTCCTCATCTTAAGGCAGTGGAGAACTTGGAGAGGGGAATTAACAGGAGATAACTGATAACTGACATCCATTAAAAACATGGCACGTGGAACTAGAACAGTCTACCCCAGTGAGCGAAATAAAGGGTTCAATTCGACATTCCAACCACCTGAAGAAGACTGGAGTGTATAACGACTGAAACGTTGTGATAAATATGGCGACAAAGATGAGGACAATAGTCCGAATAATGTAAATAGTGTACATAATACCTCATCTCAGAAATATAGACAGATACTGAAAGGCCGAAACGTTGTAATAAATATGGCGACAAAGATGAGGACAATAGTCCGAATAATGTAAATAGTGTACATAATACCTCATCTCAGAAATATAGACAGATACTGAAAGGCCGAAACGTTGTAATAAATATGGCGACAAAGATGAGGACAATAGTCCGAATAATGTAAATAATTTTCTTCTGGTTTCTTTTTAGGCATTTCATTACTGGAGGCCCCTAGTGGCATTTTGAGGGAAAGTTTGAAGAAAAGGAAGATAGTGAAAATGAATGTCAATAGTTCGGTCAACTATTTATCATCAAATGGTGGCCCGTCTTACTCTGCTGATGCCATGGAACCTAGAAGTGGAAGGCAATGTTCATTCATTTATTATTGCTATGATACTGACTGTCTGTGCATTTTTGTTTTTTTTCTTATCTTAAAAGTTAAACAAAGGCAATCTATCGTTATCATGATTCCATGTTCATGGACTTCAAACCACCTCCACTGAATTTGGTTCATCAGAGTTTTCAGTAGTATGGCTATTCTGCCAAGGAGGATGCAGGTTCAAATCCAGCCAGAGATTGCATATTTTGCATTAATAAGATTTCTCAAATATTCAGGCCGGTAGATGAAAATAAATAAATATGTTATTTAATAAAGAAACAAAGCATCTACTCCAATAGAGGTATCCACTAAAAATAACGTTTAAGATGGTAAAACCTGTCGGATTAATAAATAAAAATCCATCAATTCTTTATTTGAGGAAATGCAGTCAAGGTCATCATAAATATTAATGACAAGAATAGAAGGTTGTTAATATCACTAACAAAAAAATGAAGATAAAAGATAAGGAATGGACAAATATTGAAGTTAATTTAATTTTTATTTTTTTACTTTCTAAACAGGGAAACAAATGAAAACCAAATAATTGACTGAAACAAGATTTTATAACATTTGAAATGAAAGCAGGAAGAATTTCTTTTTCCCAAAATAACATTTTTTTTTTTTTACTTTACCGATTGAACATCTTGTGAACTACTTGTGAATACCTTATGAACACTTTATGAAAACCTTATGATCATTTTGGTAACACCTTATGAACACCTTGGGAACACCTTATGAACAGATTGTGAATACCTTATGAACATCTTATGAACTGCTTATGAAAAAAATATGAACACTTTGTGAACACCTTACGAACACCTTATAAACAATTTGTGAACACCTTATGAACATCTTATGAACATCTTATGAACTGCTTATGAATACAATATGAACACTTTGTGAACATCTTATGAACACCTTGGGAACACCTTATGAACACCTTGATCTTCTTTGTGAATAGTCTTGTCATCTGTTTTCATGTGCTATCTTCTTTTTCATTCTTTTCTTGAACTGACAAAACATTTGATGTTTCAGTATCTGCCTATATTTCTGAGATGAGGTATTATGTACACTATTTACATTATTCAGGTGGTTGGAATGTCGAACTGAACCCTTTATTTCGCTCGCTGAGGTAGACTGTTCGAGTTCCATGTGCCAATGAATGGAGAGGAATTTATAATACTCAGAAATTCATACACAGATGTCCTTGAGGACACATGGCACAGTGGATAAAGGCATTAGTTAGATTCAGTGACAGGAACCAAAGAGTGTGAGTTCAATACCCGGCTAAGGCAGTGGAGAACTTTCAGAGGGAAATTAACAGGAGATAACTGATAACTGATATCCACTAAACATGGCACGTGGAACTAGAACAGTCTACCCCAGTGAGAGAAATAAAGGGTTCAGTTCGACATTCCAACCACCTGAAAAAGGCCGGAGCGTACAACGGCCGAAACGTTGTAATAAATATGGCGACAAAGATGAGGACAATAGTCCGAATATTGTAAATAGATTTTTTTATGTTTCCTATCCACAGAAACCTTTCCCTAAAAGAGAAAATATTTCACTTTTCTCTTTTTAAAATTACTCCTTTTACAGGCAGATTATGTTGTAATAGTTAAATAAAATTGCATAATTATGGTGTATCAAAAGTATTTACAGTTTTTACAGACCTTTACTCCAAAGATTTTTCCATGTACACATTGAAAAACTGTCTATGACAAGACTATACTATCATAATAGTTTTGCTTATCCCTCCTTCGTTAGTTAGCACGGCCGTTACGTCCGGTCAATACCTCATAAATAATGGAGTATTTTGCGTTTTGATCGCGTGTAAAGATGGGAAAAGGCACTACTTGGTTTCGGTGAGAAAATGAAACAAAGAAAGGAGGTTAGAGGAGTAGAGAGATAATCAGCTTAATCTGATAAGAACGGATTATACACTTTAACCTCAGCCAAAGAGCTGAGAAGTCATGACGACCAGGATAAATATGACAGCACATTGTAGCCGTGTTCAATGTGCTGACCGTGTTCGGAAAATAAAAACATTCCTATAATTCTAGATAAATGCATAAAAAAATTCATACATTCAGTTAAAAGTAAAAATAAAGTCATCTTTAGTAATGGCTAAAAGAATAGCCGAAAGCGCTCGTACATACAGCACATTTGGACAAATTCTACATAATTTATGCGCAGAAAAGAACATAAGAACAATGATATAAAAAAATAACCGCAGGACCTGCTCAGTCGTTTTTTAACGACATATATATATATATATATATATATATATATATATATATATATATATATATATATATATATATATATATATATATATATATAATATATATATATATATATATCGTATATCGC